ATTAAAATTATCCCAACATGCATCTTTCACAGGTTTGGTAAATTTATTTCTTGATAACTTTGAATTGAGGCAGTTTAAACATAAAGAAACACAATTGTTAGCATATAAAATTCACAATGTCCATGTACAATTTAACTTTACAAATCAGTTTACATTTATATACTATCTGGACAGATATTTCATGCTACACAATTCAAACGGGTCACACCATGTCAGAAATTAAAAATTGTTTTTAATTTGGAAAGATACGTTTTTCCATATAGCATGCATATTGTTTGTTTACAAATAGTTAACAAGATTTTACCAACCTTCCCAATCAAAATTCTTTAGGCAACTTCTGACACAAATTATCTTTTAATATAGATACACTTTGGATTAAAAGAGTGCCAACAAATAAAACTCATAGATGGGACTATCAACAAATACAATACACAAACATGTATGCACCAGTTCATGAATATCATATGTATTATGAAATCATAACTAATTATCATATAATATGGTACAACAATTTGAGATTTTCCACTCTACTCTCTGAATATTAGACTTTCTTCTAATGGGTCAAAACCAAAATCTACATTATATGGTGCAGGATTTAATAATATCAGATTGTTTGTCCACAAATCAACTTGAAATATATTGTAATGAATTCAACATATAAATGAATGATTCCAAGTTATAGAATAACTATCAATTTTGTTATAATATACAGATTCATTACACATGAAATGAATTCAACATATAAATGAATCATTCCAAGTTATAGAATCACTATCGATTTTGTTATAATATACAAATTCATTATACATGAATTTCTCTAATTAAAATGTTATAATAAAACACATTTACCAGAATCATGATACGTCAAAATTCCATCTTATGATTTTATTCATGCGGTATCTTGATTTCGATTGCAAATAAAATATAATATGCATAAGAAATTTCATCTTAAGATTGTTGGGGAATACATCGTTTATGTGCATATTATATTGACAAAAGCATACCGTTTATTTACGTGAAATCGAAACGTAATTTCGACTTACCGAAATAGAATTTGAGAAGCAAAACAATAATAGTTACCGAATCCGAATGCATGAATATTGATTCATCTCTTTCGATTCTTGAACGAAAGCAAGTTACTCTTTGAATCAAATCGATGAATTTTTTATCGAAGCAAGTGTTTGACACTTGATTCTTAAGATGAATTTGCCCCGCATTGGTGTTAACGGTTTTCCAGCAATCATCTCCCAAGATACAACGACCACGTCAAGCCATGAGAGCACTCCAAATGGCTTCGACCAACAAACTCGAACAGAATTCCCTCTCTACCATAACAATAATTTTGATACAAAAGATAATCACTTCTACAAAGTGTTTTATGTAACTTAATATAAAATGAATAATATGGAATTATTGAATGAATTGGAATGACAAATACACATCCAAGGAGTCCTATATATAGAAGATGAAGGGTTGTGGGTGAAGGAACACACCCTAAATTCAGCATTTTTCACGGAAAGTTGCAACACTTCATTTCAAACATGCATTCTTTCGAAAAACTGCAACACTTCATTATTTCAACTTTGGACCGTAATTTCTCATTCATCCGGAATTGGTTTCAAGATTCCAAATATACCATGACGATCTACTCGACAAGTAGAATAAGTTGGTCTATTTACTTTTATAATTTGACCATCGGATCAAGTCCGAACATTCGACCGAAGTTGACACGAAGTCAAACATTTTCATTTTCCCAGTTTTAAACTTAAACCAATTTTCGGTTAATTTTTGAACCAATTCCAACATTTAGTGCGGTTTAGACTGGATTGAATTTGAGGTGGGTTTTGGATGGGATTGGGGTGATGAGTAGGAAATGGATTCTTCTGTATTTGATTAGAGATAATGAGCGTTTGAAATAGGAGTTTTAACATGTTGCATGTGTTCAAACCAGACAACATGGTATGTGTCTACCGATGATGATGCCAAAGGTGATATTAGTTGTGTGGCAATGTTTATAGCTGATTTTTCAGGACTAAGAGTGGAAAAAGGGGGTGGGTGGTGATGACTAATTTTTTAGGAGGAGACAAACTCTTTTATCTGTTTAATGTGATAATT